TCTTTTTCTATCTGTCCTTCCTTTTTTCTGACCCATATCCAACAGATGGGATTTAGTGAGAGCACGCATCCAGACTTAATCAGAAAGATCAACGTTCAAATTCCTATTGGTGGAGCTGTACGACATGATTCGGAAGATGACATTGTCACAACTCTCTTAGAAGACCTCCTTGCTACGTCCCCCAGAACCCCGGCAGCGTCTGGTTCGGGAGCAAGGGAAATACCTGGCGCTTGGCATTGAACGACATGGAAAGCAGGTAAATATGATTTAGTATTATGTTGTACTTTGGTGCATTATGCACTTTTATGCGATGGACTTTTGTAGTGTAAGAACATCTGTAATTCTACAACCTGACATGCGTATTTTTGACCACCATCCATGCGCGGTGCGACAACGTATTGAAGAGTATCTTTCGCGACACCATTCGCGGGACTCACATGTTCGCGAGGGAGCAGACACTCGTGAATTTCCTGATCTCAACGCTTGCTCCCTAGGTGGTTTTTTCACCACTTGAGCTTAGTTATCTATCCTTCTAGTACTGCGACTTTGTTTCTTGCGCCAGCAGCTCAATGGTAGTATCTAATTCTGCATCGAACCATCAACGCCGTGAAGAACATCTACAGGAGATGGAACGATGGTTGTCTTACCTGTCCACGACGGACGCATAAAAACCGGCATCATCTCCTAGATAGCGAGGTGGTCCAAGTCGAGCCTATGTGATTTCTTCGCTTTGGCATGATGACATCGGATCAACGATCGTATACGACCCGAGAGCGCGCCCTTGGGAATAATTCATGAAGTTCATGGAACCATGTCCTGTAAGCTACCATCCCACCATCCCGGTCCAATCCGTAGACCTGCCCGTTCTCCCCTCCACTTTTCCCTGCTTGCTTCAGTAACTGTCGCACTCATCTTGGGCCTCTTCAACGCAAAGTTTAATTGGAAGAGTGCTACAACTGCTAACCTTCCAATCAATGCCGTAGAAATTCTGCGCAAATGCAATTCCTTGAGTGCTGAACCAGGGCCTCCCGTGGATTTCTACAGCAGAATTGAGTCCGACCGGTTCCAGTCAGGAACGCCACCGACACTTATTCGGAATGCGACTATCTGGACCGGACGCGTTTCTGGCCATGAAATAATCGTTGGCGACCTGTTACTAGACAAAGGGATAATCAAGGAAGTCGGAGATATTAGCCAGACAATTATTGATTCATACGGTGAGCAATTGGTCGTAGTGGACGCAGCACGAGCATGGGTTTCTCCCGGGTGAGTGCTAAAACTGCTCGTGTCATTAATTTCCTGATTCCTATCCTCTAGGATCGTTGACATGCATTCTCATCTCGGCGTTGACAGTGCACCATCTCTCAACGGTGCAGATGACACAAACTCTTTCAAAGGTCTTGTGCTCCCTTGGCTTCGAAGCCTCGACGGACTCAACACGCATGACGAAGCTTATCTTCTTTCTATCTCAGGAGGTGTTACAACGTCGGTTGTTCTACCAGGGTCTGCGGATGCCATAGGTTTGTCAATGACTTTTCTTCATAAGTTCAATCTCACTTTGGAGCTTCCAGGCGGCCAGGCTTTCGTTATCAAGTTGCGCCCGACTGCTGAACGTACTTCCTCTTCAATGCTTCTAGAGCCACCTTACTCTCTGAATAATAGCGATGTTGAGCACTTATCTCGGCCACGATGGCGACAAATGAAGTGAGCATTCGTTCTGTCTGTACATCCAATTTATCTAAGAAGCTTGGTATTCTTTGAATGAAGGCATGCTTGTGGTACGTCCATGGAATTTTCGGGAAGCTGTAGTTCTCAATATTCTATATATAGGCGAAAATCCCAGTGAATTTTTTTTCTGGATTCTGGCAATGTATTTGACTCACTGACACGTATAATATCAGGCAGCGTGTACTCTGGCACTCGGATGGACACAATTTGGGCTTTCAGACAAGGGTATGGAAGCAATCAATGTTTGTGTTTGAAATCATATCGACTGATATTCAGGTACGAAAAGGCCCGGAAGATTAAAGAAAGTCAGGATCAATATTGTGTCAAAGCCCTATCTAACCAATGGAATGACTTGGGCGAGTTCCCGGAAGATCTTCAATGGGAGGCTCTTGTCGATGTGCTACGAGGACGGGTGAAGGTGGGGTCATGCCCGTGTTTCCATCCAGGTTTTTTGACAAAAGCTAGGTTCACAATCACTGTTACGAAGCAACAGATCTCGACGGCCTCGTTAGGGTATGTTACCCGCCTGCATCAAAACGTGTCATTGAGTAGTCATGTTCTCAGCTCAGCAACGAATTCAAGTTTCCCATTGCTGCATTTCATCATGCTCACGAAGCTTATCTTGTCCCGGATTTAGTCAAGAAAGCCTATGGTTCGTCGTGCAGTATCTTCCTAACTATCGCCTAACCATATCAAATTTTTCACACAGGGCTGACCCCTGCTGTGGCGATGTTCGCGACCAATGCCAGATACAAAAGAGAGGCGTATCGTGGTTCTGAGTTTGCGCCTCGAATTCTTGCGGATAATGGCATCAAAGTCGTGATGAAGGTGAGACGAATTGTCTATCTGTGGTGGTGTTAAAGTCAAGCTATCACAGAGTGATCATCCAGTGTTGAATTCACGCCATCTCGTCTATGAAGCCCAACAGGCCCACTACTACGGTCTACCTGACAATCTTGCCCTAGCTTCTGTGACGTCGACCCCTGCAACGGTGATGGGGCTAGATCATCGAATAGGGTTCATTAAACAAGGTTCAGCGGACTCTTTCCCGTTGAATAATAAATGCTGATAGTTCAATAGGATATGATGCCGGTAAGGCATTTTGCTTCAATTACGGTCGGTCCTCACAATCCATGCGCTAGATGTCATCATCTGGGATAGCCATCCACTGGCTTTGGGCGCCGCACCAAAGCAGGTGTATATTGACGGAATTTCCCAGATAGCCCAGCCATTCGCCGTTAATAAACCGGCGGCATTCCAAGTAAAACCTAATACTCCAAACTTTGATAAGGAAGCGAAGCTCGCCCTTGAATACGACGGCCTACCTCCCCTGAAGCCTGTTGTTGATGATTCGGGTGTAGTCCTTTTCACCAATATCAGCAGTATCTATCTTCGCAAGGGTTCCGTCATTCAAGAAAGTTTTGCGGCTGCGGATAATACCTATGGGACCGTCATCATAGATAACGGGAATGTCGTATGTGCAGGAGACTGCTCCGACGTTTCTGTCGCAACCAATGCGCGCCACGTCAACCTGGAAGGAGGATCTATCTCGTATGTATCCATACAACACACTGTTTCTCCTCCTTAAAGTGACTCTTTGATTAGGCCCAGCCTTGTGACCTTCGGAAGTCCCCTAGGCCTGGAGGAAATCTCTGGGGAGCCGTCGACCAGGGATGGTATAGTCTTCGACCCACTCGGAGGAAAAGTCCCTTCTATTGTTGGTGGGGATGGAAGCATCATTCGAGCCGTTGACGGACTGCAGTTTGATGGCAGGGATGCTTTGTTAGTAAAGATAGTCTAGTGTGGTTGGGTATCTGCTGATCACTCTCAGACTTGCATATCGCGCGGGCGTCACAAAGGCGGTCGTTGCTCCAAGCTCGGCCGGCTTCATGTCAGGCTTGAGCACTGTCTTTTCAACCGGAGCTGCACACAAGCTTGTACCTCGCGCTGTTGTGCAAGATGTTGCTGCACTTCATGTTGCAGTCGGGGACTCATCCGTCAGCATAAGCACTCAGATTGCTGCTCTTCGGCGCCTTCTTCTGGGTAAGGGCAAAGGTGAACTTGGCGAGCGCTTCCTCGAAGTCGCTGAGGTAAACTGGTGTTTTTTGCTATTCTTGAAGAGATCATTTATTCGGTGTTGAAGGGACGACTTCCATTGGTGATTCGAGTCCAAAGTGCCGATGTGATGGCCTCTTTGATCAGGCTCAAGAAAGAAGTAGAGAACTCGAGCGGATATACCACCAAGTTTACTTTCACTGGAGCCAACGAAGCCCATCTTCTGGCCAAGGAGATTGGCGAAGCTGGCATTGGTGTTATTCTGACACCGTCACGCCCTTTCCCCGGTACTTGGGAGTCAAGAATTTTCCCAATGAGCAGATTCTTGATCATCTCCCTGCCCATGATACGCATAGTATAGTAAAACGCGGAGATGTCGAGTGTCGAGGTCAGCGTGTCCAGGAGTCGAAACGGCAGCGTCAGCGGTATCCACCCTGTGTCGCTCATAAGCGCGCGCACATCCAAAGGAAAAGACAGACCTCGCGCATACTCGAGGGCAAAGCACCCCTCGTGCATCTTATACTGTTTCGCAGTAAAGCGGGGGAGAAAATGCACGGTTCCCGGCGTGTACCGCTCCGTCTCCAGAGCGCCAGGCGCAAACGCCCATTGCTCGCCAACGAGGATGTTGAAATAGGCATCGGCGGCGTGCAAGCCGGTGTGTCCCTCAGTGCCGAGCGGGGTGCCATAGATGATGAGAGACTCTGTGATGCTGGCGTGGATGACGTACATGGCCCCCATTGCGCCACCGGCGTTGTTGAAGACCCACTCGGAGGCATCGGGGTTGAGCTGCAGCTGCGTTCGGGGGTACGTTGCGGTGAGGTTGGCGAGGATGTGCGTGATCATCCCGTGCGTATCGCCGGGGGAGGCGGCGATTGCGGACGCGGCGACGTCGTGGATGGTGCTGGGGTCGAGGATGTAGAAGGTGGACTGGAGAGGGTGAGGCGGTGAAGTAGTGAGATGTATTGACTTACGCGGAGGCTGTCAATCCACCCGCAGGCGAGGTATGCAAAGAAGATTGCCCGAAGGGTTTTCCAAGTCATGAGTGGGGTGGTGGTTACTTGGGATCTTTTGTGGGCCGATGAAGCTTCATTTTAAGCCATTCAACGTCGCTACATATGAGCGAACGGGCGGACGATGCAGGATTCAAACTCACCAGAAACGCACAAAAACCACCAACCCTAACTCTGCACCATAATGCAAGACAGCGAGAGTGCCACGGCGCTGTAGTGTAGAGGTTATCACTCGAGATTTTGACCACCATCTTCTCGAAACCCAGGTTCGAGTCCTGGCAGTGCCTTTTCTTTTGCATTCGGGTGTTTCTTTCCCTCTCCGTCCCATGGCACACGCTGCCCGTCGTTGTACACGGCGCGGTGCTCACCGAGACTGACAAACAAACAAACAGGGCACAGGATACGTTGAGCTAATATACATCGTCCGCTGGGATGCGTCAGTAGTGATAGAAAATACTGCTTGTTGTATGTATGTATGGGTGTGTGATACACATTACGTTACGGAGGGGTACGGTGTGCTTATGTATACGCGAGTAATATACCAAGGAAGAGAGAGAGAGAGAAAGAGGGAGAGGGAAAAGACAAAAAGAGTTCATGACGGGCGATTTTGAACAGAACAGGAATAAATATACCCCAAAGGCCAAGCCCACGCGACTAGGTAGGTACCACATGCCGTCGTCGTCAAAGAGGAGACAAGATTAAGAAGTATTAGAAGGACGATAAAAACGTTTGTTTTTTTCGATAACCACGCGCGCTCACCCCTGCTGCGCGAGGATCCTCCTGCCGTGCAGCGCAAGCGGCGGCGGCAGCTCGCGCTCCCTCTCCCTCTCGCCGCGGTCGCGGTCGCGGTCACGCTCGCGCTCAAACGACGCAGGCGGCATCGTCGCCCGGGCAGCATACGGCGCCGCGTGGTCCGCCTGGCCCGGGGCCTCTCCGCCCGCGGGGCTCGGCTCGTCCCGCAGCGGGATCGTGTGCGACAGCGGCGACGGGACGCCGTAAAACTGGTGCGGGTGCGTGTGGGGCGACGCATAGTGCACGAACCCCATGGGCGGGCTCGGGGACGGCGTGAGGCGCAGGCCGGCCTTGGTGTCGTCGAGCGCGGGGTGGTACATGTCGGCGGGGCGCAGGGGCATGGACGAGGCGGCGGGCGCAGAGGCGGAGGTGCCGGGGATGTAGGGCGGCGTCGCGGAGGCCTCGCGCTTGGAGATGCCGCCGCCGGCGACCTTGTCTTTGCGGCGGCGCTGGGAGGGCGGGTGGCCTTCCTTTTTTGCACGTGAGCGTGCGTAGCGGAGGCCGCAGCTGCGGGCGGGCGGGTGAGTGGGTGGGTGTGACGGGGCGGCACGCGCGAGACACGCTGCGAGACATTGTACTCACGCGTTGCAGAGTTCCTTTTTGCCCGACGGGCCTTTTCTCCATTCGGGGCTGCTCGTGACCTTGCAGCTGGAACACTTGAGGACTCCGTTTGGGCGGTTGCCGGGGGTCCGCCCGCCGGGGACGTAGGGGTCCGCGGGTGCTGCGGCGGGGCTGGGGCGGCGCCTGGAGGGGGGCACCTGGGGGTCGTCGGGGGGCAGGGAGCGGTCGCTGGTTGCATAGGGGGAGGCGGGGCGGGGCATGTCGAAGAGCGGGGTGCCCTGGGGGCCGCCGGGGGCAAAGGGGGCGGTGCGGAGGTTGCTGACGGCGGGGCTAGGGGACTCCCACTGGTAGTCGGGCCAGCGCTGGGGCGGGTACGAGTAGGGGAGGGCGTAGGAGTCGTAGTAGGGGCTGTAACCGAGGGGCTGCTGCATGGGGGGAGAGGAGCTGAGGGAGCTGCGGGGAGAAGGGGAAGAGGCGAGTTTGTGGCAGGCAAAGATTACGGAACCTAGATAAAGCGTGACTGTGTGATACATTGCAGAGGTGAGACGACGCACCGTGCGGGATGAAGATGCTTTCGACCTGGCCCGGGGGCGGAACGGAAGCAAGGGTCTGGAGGGCCTTGTAGCGGCGGGTGCAGGTGGTCTTGGCGTCGTTGGGGGAGCCGATCTGGGCGTTTTCGACGAGGCGGGCAAAGTCGTGGCCGTTGGGGTGCTGGGTGCCCTGGCCGTGGTCGGGGGGCCAGCTGAGGAGGAGGGCGCGGTTGTCGCGGTTGTCGAGGATCTGGAAGACGCGGAGCATGGGTGCGGCGGGGACGGCGGCAAAGAGGCTGCGGTAGCAGTGGCTGATCTGGGCGGGGTCCATGAGGGGCGTGCCGCACCAGTTGGACCAGGGCGACTTTTGGTGCTCGTCGTTGTCGGTGGGGCTGAGGTCGACGATGGCGTGGATGAAGCAGAGGACGAGGCCGTCGGCGGCCCAGTTGATGACGACGTCGACGGCCATGTAGTTGTCGTCGAGGGCGACGGAGTCTGCGTCGGGGTGCTGGCCGTCAAAGCCGAGGAGCCTGCGGATGCGGGAGAGACGGGAGAAGCGGACGCTGGGGGGGGGTCGGGGGGCAGCCAAGCGAGTCAGACGACCCGGACACTCACCGAGTAACAGAGCCATGGAGGGTGCGGCTGTCGAGGACGGCGGCGAGGTCGAGCCTGGCCGAGGCCTGCTCGTCGGGGTGGACAAAGTCGAGGAGGGACTTTGCGAGGAGGCCGGGGGCCTGGGCGTCGAGGTGGCGCTGGAGGACGGGGTCGAGGTAGACAAAGGCGAGGTCGGCGTCGAGCAGGGCCCAGTCTGGACAAGGTCAGCGGCGGGGATCGGCGGGGATCGGACACTCACAGCAGCGGGTCTGGCCAATCGCAGGCGGGCGCGGGGCAGCGGGCACAGCGAACGCGGCGGCGGTGGTCGTCATCAGGAGAGAGCCAAACAAACATCCGAGACATTTCCATGGCCAACATCTGGCTCGCAGCCGCAGACGGCGACCTCGCCCGCGTCCAGGCAAGTCGTCGCTGCCGTCCCCGGCCCCGCTGACGCCCCGCAGCACCTCGTCGACGTCGAATGCAAGTCTCTCCTCGCCCGCCGCGCCCCGCTCACCGTCCCACAGCACTCGACCCCAACGTCCCCGACGACAACACCTACACGCCCATGTGAGTGCACGTCGCCTGGTAGACTCCCGCTGACCTCCACAGGCACGCGGCCGCAAGCTACGGCCAGCTCGCCGTCCTCGCCTTTCTCATCTCCCGCGGTGCGTCCCCCGCGCCCGTCTGCGCACCCACTCACCCCCCGCAGGCGGCAACGTAAACGTCACCGACGCAGACGGCGACACGCCCCTCTACACCGCCGAGGACGTCGCCACGGCGCGCTTCCTCGTCGAGCACGGCGCCACCATCGACCACCGCAACGCCGACGGGGTCTCGGTCAGTGGTCTGTCTCGCGTGCGGGCGCTACTCATGGCCCACAGCCCATCGAACACGTCGCAGACGAGTATCCCGCCGTCGCGGCGTACCTGCAGCTAGCTAGTTCATGTATCTAATTACAAAAAATCGATCATGATCGACGTCTGTGAGAAGCCCAACGTAACAGGCGACCAAACAAATCGCCGACCATGGCCACCATCGCCGTCCTCCTCGACGACCCCGCCGCCGCCCCCGCCGCCCGCGCAACAGGCTACGACGCCCTCGCCCTCCCCCTCACCACCCGCAAATGGCACCGCCGCTGGGCCCACATGTGCCTCCTCCCGCCCGTCCCCGAGCCCCGCAGCGACCTCACCGACCACAGCGCCGAGTCCTGGCGCGCCAGCCCCGCCTTTGCCGCCGACGAGGTCACCCTCACGTCCCTTGGTGAGCGCTGCTCCACTCTCTCGCGCCGCGCTAACCCGCCCAGACGACGCCGACGGCGTCACCGTCCTCCTCTCCGACTGGCTCGAGCTCGACGCCCCCGACGACTGGGTCCGCAACGACGCCGAAATCGTGCGTCCCCGCATACCCCTCCCGGCCGCTGACTCTCTCCCCACAGGCCCTCCAGCAGGAACTCGCCTACGCCTCGTACCTCAACGTCCAAGCCGCGATCCTCCCCGCCCCGCGCAACCGCGACCACGTCGCCTCCTACGCCCGCATCGTCAACTCGTGCCTCAAATCCGCCCCGTACATCCACCTCTCCGTCCGCCTCCCCGTCTACCACCCCTCCGCCTGGGAAATCTGGGACCTCGTCCGCGCCATCTGCGACTACAACACGCGTCTCACCCTCAGTGCGTCCTACCCTGGCCCCCCGCGCCCCTCTGACCCTCCCCAGCCCTCGACCTCGCCCTGCCCCTCCCGACCGCCCCCGGCGCCCTCGCCAAGTGGGCCGCCGAGTCGGTCCGCAACATTCTCCTCCCCGCCTCGACGTTTATCGCCAACGCAAAAGGCTACCCCGTCCTCCCCAAGGCGACACAGGCGTTTATACGCGACTGCATGATCGTACGTGTGTTTCTACGCTACGTGTCACTGTCCCGACGCTTCCCAGCACTACCCGAACGTTATCCTCTCGGGCGTCCGCGCGGGCATGCACACCCGCGGCGGCGAGACGGCGTACATGCAGTACGTACAGCATCTAGAAAAGACAAGTCCCGCCGTGCAGGCCGCCGAGCGCGCGGGCACCGTCGAAAACTTTGCGCAGGGGTACCAGGACTACCTCCAGGCCCCGCTGCAGGTGCGCCCCTCCCTCCCCCGCTCACCCCAAACTCAACGCCGCAGCCCCTCATGGACAATCTCCAAAGCGTCACATACCAGACGTTCGAGCAGGACCCGGTAAAGTACCGGCAGTACGAAGAGGTGCGCGTGCCGTCCGGCTCCTGTCCGTGCTGACGCGCCCCAGGCAATGTTCCAGGCCCTGCGCGACTGGCCGGGAGACGACAAGATGTAAGCCGCCGCTCCGCGCTCTATCCCGCACTTACACTTGCCAGCACATTCTGCATCGCAGGCGCAGGCCGCGGCCCGCTCGTCGCGCGGTGCCTCCGCGCGATCGAGCGCTCGGGGCGCAAGGCCGCCGTGTTCGCCGTCGAGAAGAACCCCAACGCATACGTCACGTCAGTCCCCCCGTGCGCATGCAGTCCCACGCTGACTCCCACCCAGCCTGCAGGAGCGCAAAACGCGCGAATGGGGGAGCAGGGTGCGCCTCCTCTTCGGGGACATGCGCTCCATCGACGTCCCGGAGCGCGTCGACGTCCTCGTCAGCGAGCTCCTGGGGTCGTTTGGGGACAACGAGCTGAGCCCCGAGTGTCTGGACGGCGCGATGCGGTTTTTGAAACGTGCGTCTGGGTTTTGTGTTTGTGTTCTGTGTGTGTGATGCGACGCGGGCAGCGGGGGGGATATCGATCCCGGCGTCGTACACGGCGCACCTGGCGCCGCTG